AACATTATTTTCTCGCTATTACTATTACTGTGGAATGTGGATAGGACCCTCACTTCAAATGAGCAAGGTGCGAACTCAGGTTTGGTTATGTAACGTTCGTATCTACTTAATGCTGCTAGGGAATAAGTAGACTTTATTCAATGGTTTAACCGAGTATAATACGAGCGGGTAAATTGTGACTTGTGCCGCATTTTTTGAGCCCCAATGGTGCGATGAAAAGAAAGAGTTAATAACCCTCCGTTTTCCATCTCTCACCGCTCCTCCTAATAAGTCAGATTACGCTCACTAGCCGTTTACCCTATTCTCAGCCATATTTGTGTACCTGTACGTGGGTAACAATACTTATTAGAGTCCCGCGCTGTTGCTAAATTTCGAAGGAAACAATCTCTGTGCTGAGTAAGTGTCAATGATATCATAAACGATCAAATCAGGCAAAAAGAAATCTATTTTTTTTGAACGAAGAGAAGATAATTCATTAGTTCCGTCTTCAGCTAAAAATTCTCTCTCTCGGATATAAACAGATATTTCGTACGATTTTGACTGAGATAGGTCCGTGCACGGTTCGGCCAATTCAATTTCTCAATTTTCTTGAAAAATGGAACAAGCGAATATTACTCAACTAAACTGTTTGTATTCATTTTCAGCTGACCAAGAATAAAATATTAGAAAACGGGTCAGTTTTTCCATTTTTCTAAATTTAAGATTAATCTAGAAAATTAAAAAGTCTTGTTTATGGCTAAAAACGATATTTTTTTCAATATTCCTTTTTTTCCGTTTTCCGAACTAATTGAAAAAAAAAAAACAAAAAAACAAAAAAACGCAAAAATGGAATATACCTGGTAGGAATCGAACTCACTCTCGCTTGCCGGGCGATCAACTACTCCACTGCGCCACTGATTCGTGGATCTGTTTGGATTTTTGACTATGGCGTTATTCGTCACTCAATGGAGCTGGAGTAGCGGGAGACTGTACAACTCGATGTAAGCTTAATTTCGAACGACTGCGTTCGGACATAAGCTATGAATGGACTCGCGTTATGTAAACAAAAACTCCATTCTCAGCCTTTCATAAATCATTATCCGAGTTCAGTGGCTCACAGCCACCGTGACTTTGATTCGTAAATTGTTTAGACGGAATAGAAAGTATTTTGTGTTTGTGTGTGTGGGTTTTTTTATAACTTGACTTTTTATAATCCATTTTCTGAGTTCAGTGGCTCACAGCCACTTTGATTCGTAAATTGTTTAGACGGAATAGAAAGTATGTTTTGAGTTTGTGTGTGCGTGTGCGTGTGTTTTTTTTATAACTTGACTTTTTACAATTTTTTTTCTGAGTTCAGTGGCTCACAGCCACTTTGATTAGTTTAGGATCAGTTTTATCTTAACTTGGGAGTTGCCTCTTGTTTACAGTTTCGTAGAACAGCTAAGAGGTTAGTCGTGATTTAACTATGTGTTTATTTGATTAAACTTAGGTTTCTCACCGGTAAATAGTTTCTGGTAACATCTAGTGTTATTGCTTACCAGTGAACGCTGTATTATATCTGTACAGGTTTAGCGTTAGTGTAAAGGTTTGGTTAGCAACGGAAATTGCGCGATCATGATAAGCATACGATAATGATCTTTTAACCTATTAGTTATTAGGAAAATAAAATCAGTTTATGTGGCTACAGGAGAAGAATCAACAATGGAAAACAATAGAGTCGCCCCCTCCGTCCTGTTTGCATGTAATCAAGCCTTCCAAAACATATTTAACTAGTAATCGTAAGAAGCAGGAATATTGAATGTCACACAAGTAGGGACCGGATCTCCAGAGAAGAGTTATACCTAGTGAAGAAAGGAGAAGGGAAGAGTTGAAAGTAAGAAATATCTAGATAAATCTTATTTTTGAATCGTTTGGCTGTTGTGGACACGGAGTACCTCGCTCTCTGAGTTAGTTCTTCAAAGGGCGCGCGCTGCATTTACGAGGTCTTCTTCCACACCATTGACCAGAAGAGGGCGGTGAGCATGGTGGACACTACTTTCTTACCATCACTTTATCTTCAGAGAGAGAGAGAGAGAGAGAGAGAGAGAGAGAGAGAGAGAGAGAGAGAGAGAGAGTGTGTGTGTGTGTGTGTGTGTGTGTGTGTGTGTGTGTGTGTGTGTGTGTTTGTGCCCAAATTGAGAGCAATATGATTTGACTTGAAGATGTTTCTCAGAGTTTTGCAACGGTTTCCACCTCCGTTTCGTTTCTCCATGATGTTTCACTGAACTTCCTGAACTTGAGAGAAGCACCTGAGTGGGCATTGAGACGGTCAAGTTCATGTGCAAGACCCTTTTATTATCGTTTTTTTGGAAATCATTTTAAACTTGAAGGGAAAGTAATAAGAAATTATCAGTAAAATGAAATGAAATGCCGCGGTGAACCGCTGCCAAATGATTAATTTGATCCAAACAATTTCTATGGCTTATATGTTAAAAGATAGTTTTATTCTTATTTCTTAGTTTCTCTTTTTTTGACCTGACTTGGGAAGTTGACCGTGGGTAAACCACGCAATCTACACTCTTGTCATTTTAATTTAATTTAACGCGTATATGGAATACTTAATTTCACTTATTGCGAAACGAGAGAAAACGCCTGCGAACACGCCATGTGTCGTGATGTTCGCTTAATTTGCACCAAACTTCGGTTTCTCCTAAACAGAAGAGAGAAGTCCTATTGGCAATACCAAATTTAGTAAAAAAGAAAGATAATGTTTGGAACTGTGATCGATATATTTTAACAGATATTCTGACATATGGAAATTCGACCATTGAACTTAATCTTTTAGTGCTTCGTACTTTGTAAAGCGAAGAAAGAAGGATATCAAGTGTTTACGTTTGTTTTTCTTTTTTTTAATAACGAGGCAAAGGTATATTTATATTTTCAATTGGTATGCTAATCCACGCCATTACAGGATGTTTTATATCCCTAAAGTGAACATTTGTCCTTGCAAATTCAAATATCCATTAGCTCACACTACTAGTAGTTGATTAAACAGACAAATTTCATAATTATTTTGTCTTGTAAAAACAATGGATTCAGAAAAGAAACGACCATTTAGACAACAAGCTGTCTCTTGTCTCAGTGTCTGTCTTGTCATTCGGCCGTTCTAAGCTAGATATTTTTTCCAGTCAAAATCAATTTTAGAGAGCACGGAATACAGCGTGCTAACATATTACATCGTTTTTCCTACTTTTCAAAAATCCGGCCTTGCATTGGTTGCGAAATATCTTGTTTGTCCGTATAATGGTCCTGTAATTTTATCTGTGATATAAATATATGGACGGCTGGAGAGAAAATTAATAAAAATAATAATAAAACAGGGGCGAGATCAATTTGGTGTTATTAGTAACCCGCGTAAAAGCGGCATGTTAACAGAGATTCGTTGGGCAATGTAATATTCAATATTGGCAATTTTGAAACGTTTCGGACCGGACAAAAATGTTCGATATTAAAATTAGGCATAAAATTCTTCCAATGTTTACATTTCAGTTGAGAAATATGATCCAAACAGACGGCAGAATTCTAGGTAGCAATATTTTTCTTAAACAATTCTCGCTTCTATTCATTTGTTAAACTCTAAGCTACTTTACAACACCACCGAACATAAACGTGATGCCAAAAATAGACTCAGTAACAAATGCTAATTCGTACTGCGGAAGAATCAGTAGCATTGACGTAACTAACTAAAAATTCACATTAACAGCGTGCAGGGCTTTGAAAGACAGGCTGCATGTCCTTGAATAAACAGCTATATATTGAGCGAGTTAAAACAAAGCCGGGCATTCAGCAGTTTGTGAGGCAGCTTGAAACCTTTAGCGGGAGACGGGAATAAAAAAAATTAAAAGACACATCTCTTTGTGTTCACATCGAGGTTCGAAAAGAAGATTGGCTACCCAAACTCGTTCACACCACTTAATAAGTTGGGGGACTTGAGTACACTGTGAATTGCCTTAAACTTGAATATGACTGGAAAAGACTTCGTTGGAAATGCTTCTTCTGGAGAAAACGCAACAGCTGAAAGTCCCTTCTTGGATCATTCACCTATTGCACAAGGCTTCAAATGCGCCGCTTACGGCATCGTTGTCGCGTTTTCCATCATCGGCAATTCTTCGGTCATAGCTGCATTCAAACTGAACATCAACAGTAAACTTCGCACAGTCAACAGTATGTTCATTGTGAGTATGGCAGCCGGGGACCTACTGCTTACACTGGGAAGTGCACCGGAGAGAATCACCCGAATCTTGGTCAGTGAACAGTGGATAATTAAAGGAAACTTGGGGATATTTTTGTGCAAAACCACCAACTACCTCGAGAAGCTTTGCATGAACGCTTCAATCATTCATCTTGCCATGGTGGCTATAGATCGGTTTTTAGTTGTGTTTTATCCTCATCGGAAGATTATCACGGTGATAAGGGCTCGCCAAATTATAATCATGGCTTGGCTGGCGTCAGCTGCCTACTGCGTGCCTTTGTTTTACTACGCCAACTTGCTGGAGGAAAATGGAAAACTGCTCTGTAAAACGCGGCGTTTTTTCACCAACTGGCGTATTTGGTATTTGCTGTTCTTGTCACTGCTTGTACTAACATTGCTTCTTGTAGTCGCCTTGTACGCTGCGATAACCATTCGACTTTGTCGAGGTAGAGCACGCAAGACGCGAGCGAGGTTAAACAACCGAGTCCTTAAAATGGTCGCCATGATAGTGTTCGCATTTTACTGTTGCTTTCTTCCTTATTGGATTAGTTGGGTATTTTGCTCGTATTATCATAGCGACGTTATCTGTAACAAGACTTACGTGTTCGTTGCAATTTTTCTCCTGTACGCTAACAGTGCGGTCAATCCCGCCATTTATTCTTTCTTTAATGAGAATTTTAGGGATAGCTTTAGTTACATTTTAAACAAGTTTTGCAGTTGCTCTGCTACTAGTAATCAGTCCGTTTTGGTGGAAACTTACGATGCCACTCCAAAAGGCTTGAATAGCAAAAATCTAACGAAAAACGATGCAAAAATCTTAAGCTGATTACCGGTAACTCAAGAAATCAACTGTGTGCGGACGTGTAAGAACAATGGCAAAGAAAACTGACGAAAATTTCCTTTCGGCGCCAAATCCACATCAAGTACATCTGCAATATTAGGAGTGAGACGCTGAACTAGAAGAGCTGGATATATACTCAAACTTTAAGATATTTTAACGGTAAATATTGAAATGATGAAAATAATGGTAAAACCTTGAAATAAAGAAAATTCATGATGATTCGATTTGAGTGTTTGTTTTCCATGCGTTGTGACACGACGAGTTTTTTTATTCAAATATTGTGTATGGCAATCAACAGACGAGGACAAATTTGTATCGCCCGCAAATAGAACATATCCTGGGTACAAGAGGTTTTTTTCGCGCGCGGCGGACGGATATATTTCGCTTCGCTTCGGCAGGTCACAGTAGAGACATGACCGACACCGGAAACCGCGGAAGAAAAACCTCTGGCACTCAGGGCAGGAAGAACATTGCTTCACAAAGGAATATAACGTTAAAGCATCAATTTTGTAACTCCAGAATAGTGAATACCTTTCTTTCTTGCAAGGCATTTAGGGTGTAGGACAGCAAACGTCACATGACATACATGTGATTAAGGCAGCGTCCAGACTACGCAGGAGAAATTTTCAAACGCAGCTTTATTTCCACGGTTTGGCTTTCCGTCCATATTAATCCGTCACGAAAACGGAGCTTTTCGAAAACGCTCTTCAAACCGGAGGATTTTAAAAACGCCGCCTTTTTGTTATTTTGTCGACACAAAACATGTTGAAAACAAAGCTTTTCAGAAACGATGGTTTCCCGATAACCATGCGATCTCCTTGACCGAGTTTTTCTCGAACACAAATCCAAAATGTCCGTTGATTGTTGCATTTTTAAATTCCTCCAGCATAATGTGGACGGAAAACATTTGATGCATTTTCAGAGTGGAACTTCGTTTTCAAATTCCTCCGGCGAAGTATGGACGGCGCCTGTTAAAAATGGCTTTCTCTAAAACGAAGAACGGGGAATCGGAGAATGGAACGGGCAACGGGCAAATCTCTGAAAGGAGAAATCTCTACAACGGGGAATCTCTAAAGCGGGGAATCTCTAAAACGGGGATTCTCTAAAACGGGGATTCTCTAAAAGGGGAATCTCTAAAACGGGGAATCTCTAAAATGGGGAGTCTCTAAAAGGGGGAATCTCATTTCATCATTTAGTTTCTGAACGAAAGAACGAAATAAATTGCAACAGCAAGATTCTCCTCGTGATGTCTGTATGTATCACTTCGCCTGTGGAGTAAACTTTTGCTAGATCTGATTTCCGCGGGATATTTATTTTGCAGGAACTAGTTTTTGCAGATCGTGGAAAAACCGCAAAAATCACAAAAATTAGAACCGAAAGAAAAGCTTTCAAACTTAACATCTCGCCGTACAGTGCACAATTTGCAGTTGAGGAATTTTCCGTTTCACCATCTGTTACGGTCTCTACTTTATCAATTTGTAGTTGCATAAATCTTAACTTCCGTCGAGAAAAACTTCCGTAATAAAGGTGAGAAAGACGAGTGATGAGGAGTGAGTAAAACCTGAGGAGTGTAAAAAAGTTAGAGATTCCCCCGTTTTAGAGATTCCCCCTTTTAGAGATTTCCCCTTTCAGAGATTCCCCATTTTAGAGCTTCCCAATTTTAAAGATTCCCCCTTTTAGGGATTCCTTCTTTTAGAGATTCCCCGGTTTTAGAGATTACCTCTTTTAGAGATTCCGATTGCCCGATTGCCCGATTGCCCGATTGCCCGATTCCCCAATTCCCCGATTTCCACCGATTTCCCCGATTGCCCGATTGCCCGATTGCCCGATTGCCCGATTGCCCGATTGCCCGATTGCCCGATTGCCCGATTGCCCGATTTTCCGATT